ACAAGTAACAGCGTACAAATATCAATACTACATTAAATTACTACAATCAACAAACGCGAACCGAAATATCAAAAAAGTTATTACAAAGCAGTCTCAGCGGGAAAGAAAGTTCACAACAGAAACAAACATACATACATTTACTTGGTATATGAGCATCGCAACTTCACTAAATAAATCAAACCACAAAGGACTAGGAAAATGGAGACTCCGCGACGAGTGACGCGTAATATGCACATGCAAAATATCCAGAAGATTAGTACCCCTTTGCGTATACCACCATCACCATTTATGAAGAATCTAGGTTATGGCACAGGCGTTAACGTTTATAGATTGGAACGTTCGCCTAAATGTGGGCAAATGCGTTCACCTTGGGCTGTAAAGCGTATTTCCAAACGCGCTAACGAGCACGCGGAGCTATTTAATTCACGCATTCATGATGAAGCAGAAATTTTAAGGTACATTTTTTATCCAATAGGTTTTCGTATGGCACAGCTTTGCAAATCATGCAATCCGTGCACCCTGCAGGGCTTTGCAAGACTCAGAAAATGCCTTTAATATGTTTTGCAATTGTAACTCAAGGAACTATACTTTCAGAAAACTTTCTCATCCAAATATTGTGGGATTCCGGGGCGCTATTAAAAGTGATGATGGGCTAGAAACTTTGGCCTTAGAATGTTGCAAAACATCATTGGGTACAATATTAGAAGATCGCAACGAAGAGAACCTGGGACCTTTACCAGCAAAATATACTCTAAAAATGATAGCTGATATAGCTCATGCCTTAGATTATTTGCATACGAAAGCCAAGATATTGCATGGCGATTTAAAATCTTTCAATGTGTTGGTAAAAGGAGATTTCGAAATTTGTAAATTATGCGATTTTGGCGTTAGTTTGCCATTAGACGAATATGGGCTGATTAATTTCACAAAAAATCCGCATTTACGTTATGTTGGTGAGTGAAAAGTAGAAAATCAAAATGCTAAATGCCACCTGAAAAAATATTTATGCTCAAATTTATTTTAGGCACGAACCTGTGGTCGGCACCTGAGGTAATGGATGATTCCGAAATTATTGACTTCAAAGCTGATATTTTTAGTTTTGGTCTTATCATCTATGAAACGGTATCTCTAGTACCGCCACACACATTGGATACAGTAGATGATGAAAACGACGAAGCTAACAACACGGTCGGATCCTCTAAAACTAGTGACTCAAGCGATAAGAGCTGTGCTACGGCGGGATCTGAAGATTACGAGCTTGAACGTGTCGACAGAGCATGCGGCACACGCCCACCCCTACCGCAAGCATTTCATTTAACAGATGATTACAATCGAATTATAGAGTTTTTTTATTGTTGTACAAACGAATTGCCAGAAGATAGACCACCAGCAAAAATAATTTGGTCTTCTTTGGAAAATGAAAATAGCGATAACAATGGTAATGAGAAAATGAAGAGTAGTACTAAATAATTAGAATAACTTTAAGAACACATACATTGAATTTCAAGCAAATTTGATTATATTGACTTAGTTTAGGATTAACTGACTATAAGGGCTTGGGATTGATGAAAGTTTTTAGAATAAATAAAGTTATGACTTGTTTAGAAGTTGCCGGGCTGTTATTTATTTATAAGGCTCGTGCCTTAGGTTTCCTAACATATGCATAACGATGTATATATACTTATGTATGAATTTCGGTACTATGTGTTTCGGTAGCAAATTGTGCGCGCTACATTGGAGCACATCTAATTTTTCGCTTAAAATTTCTGACTAATCTTGCAATTTGTTGGAAAGAACCAACATCTGAATA